ATTATACCATCTATATTGATAAACAGATAATACCACATTAAAGTCTGTGTGGTGTGTCTATGAAGGAATGCATGAGTGCATCAAACATTGGAATGCATATATTGTAATCATAAATATAACCTTTGATTGCAGTCTCATACGGTGGTAATAATTTTTCCACTGATTTCTGGTCAACCGCTTACAGTCTAACAGATATAAAAACCTTACATCCATAAAAGAACGAAATGAAGTCAGTTTATTTGAGACCGAAACAGTAGAGTTGGACATTTAACCTCGTGGGTATGTTTAACAAACTGCACTAAGATATTTCACTTATATTTCTAATTTTACAATATTTTCGAGGTAATTGGTGTGAAGAGCATCAGAATGCGTTTATAGGTTGCATGAAGACATTAACATGCAGATAATTCGATAAAACACCGTTGCTATAGCAGAAATTTTATAAAAAAATAATTATTGTTACATGTTGGTTCGGGCAGATTTGATTGTTTGCAGCTTTTCGCTCGAGAGGATATCAGTTATAGCACCAGTGAAAAACCAGACAGCGCCGTTTCGTCCTAGTTTGGAACCCTTCATCGGTACGCGCGATTAATTAAAACGGAAGGCATGGGATGTTATGAAGCACTTTAATAACTAGAATATAAGAACTGTTTTAGATAACAACAAACGGATTCAGTCAGTTTATGGTTCTTAGTATGTTGCAAGTGTTAACCTAGACTAAAGGGTGGGCTGCTTAAGTCGCCGGTCAACTTGACTTATTTTCCACAGAGTATAATTCGTGAAACTTACTTCAAATTTTGTCAACCACCTCAGTACATCATCTGTACTCACATACATTTATAATGAATTTCAATATGCCGCTAGATGTGTTATGAGGGTAGGGAATCGCGGGATGTGGGGTTATTTCAGATTTTGGTGAATAGCGATAATAGGTACGTGAAATTGCAGGATTTTCTAACTGTTACGACCAAAATCGACTCACATTAGTCTGAACGCAGGAAAGTGATCTCTGCTACCTACTGTTTGGCTGATAAAACTTCCTTGAAACACACAAAGTCATGAAACGCTATAGAGACAGCAAATAGAGGATAATGCATTGTCGTGATAATATGTGACTATCAACAGGGCCATCAGGCAACTATACGGTCAACATAAAATTCCAAGCACACGAAAGCACTAAGCATTGAGAAGAATAATACCAACATGGTGGGATGAAAACCTCTGTCCACAAGGGTCAGGATTATATCATGAAATGACACATTATCAATATATCACAGAGCTTTGAAATCAGAGATTAAACAGAGACAAAGTAAAATGATGAAGATCAAGTCAACATGTGACATGCAAATGTTCGAAAAATGGTATACAGTAAAGTTGATGAAGTTAGTTGAGACATCCACAAAATTATAAATATTATAGTTTGGTCATTGAGAAGGGCTTTCTTGAAGGTAATGATGAAACGTCACTAAGACTAACAAGCACCATCAATGGGGGAAATCTAAACGGCGTTCTGTCTCCCAGCAACAGAGACCATCGTTTCGACTACGGGCAGTATGGAACAGCTTATCAAAGTATGTGTGCATTAGTAAAATGTATTTGTGCATCAAACATTGCAGCAGATACAAAGTAATAAAATGAGATCCGTGATTGAAGTCTGGTTTTTTTCCTTCACGTTTCCCAGTAGAACATAGGGCTTCAAACCTCTAGCTTGAAGTTTCTGTAGCAGTGCTTATTTTTACAGGATGGGGTTGCTAGCCTCATGCCCAACCTTTCCTCTTCATCAGCATTATTTCTGGCTTAGCGAGGTAAAGGAGTGCGTCGGCTGGGGATTGGACCCCGGACCATATGCATGGTCGGCGAGCGTCCTAACCGCTATGCCATATTCTCACCAAAGATTTCTACCACACATAAAATCCTTATTAAGGAAAGAAAAAGTAAAGTTGACTATTTAGGCTTGTAGATATAATTAACAAAGTTTGACGAGTTTCAATCATATGTTCTGTCTGAAAACGTTTCCCACAAAAGCTTTTGTGGACGGTAAGAGAATGTGTTTATTGGTTGCTCAAAGAATGAGTAAAGATGCAAGCTGGAAAAATGCCATGGTTTGAACAGAGATAAAAGGAAGTATTGATTAAAGTATAAAACGCTCCATGTAAGTGTAGAACTTTAGCACTGTAGTAGAATATGGCTACATATTAGATAATTTTATTGCAAAATATCCCACAGTGGTGCAGTATAAGTGACTGGATGATGTATCCAGAACACTTTATTGTACATAATCATAGCAATGTATTCACACGGCTGCATAATTTGTTTGATATACATTTTCTTTCTCTCCTTGTTATTTGTTGCCATTTCCCATATCTGCGGTATGGATGCTGCATCACTTCGACTGCAGTGATCAACTTCTCTTTCCATGCAACTATATTACTTTTAATACTGCAACCCTATCACACCATATAGTGTGATTAAATAAATAAAAGCATCGCATTAGTCGACCTTTTACTTACACGCAGTCACACAGTAGATTGGGACGTAGTGATTTGTGTAGATTAATACACATCGAAATGAATCATTTTTGTAATCTTGAGGAGGATCACGTGCACGCATACCCATTAAATGATGATTTGCTTACTGAAAATCGAATTATTCAGTCACAACTCGAAATATCAAAGTGTTATCCATTATTTACCAGTGGGCAACGACCAGTATTTTGGTTCATTACAAACCAATTAGCAGCAGATACAAAGTGATTTAAAGAAACAGCTCATCTCTCAGTGTTCATGTTTTATTGAAACTCAAATAGCGTTTCTCAGAAGCTTCATACATTTATTCCTATTTATGATTCCGAATAAGTCAGGGATAACGGATTGTTCAGAATAAAATGCTACCATCATTGTTTATTCCATTGACACCACATCAGCTGCTCATAGACTAATGATATTATGAAGTTTATGTATAGAAACAATTTTAACATGCTCAGAGGATTCAACTGTAAACAAAAGATCAGCGTATTCATACGGCGGTCATAAGAGTATTAATCACTTTATTCCAAACAATAATGATCATACAGTATGGAATTTTCAGCATCACATAAAAACTCAGTTCTATAGACTAATGAGAATATGCTCTACAGACAAATTAGAGAAAGAATTTCTGTTACTCAGAAAGGGGTTGAAAAGCAACGGATGCCCTCAGAGATTGATTATTAAGTACCAAAGATATGGAAGGCTCTAATGCCAAACAAACCATAGGAGAAAAAGTGTCTAACTTCACTCTATACAACCTGAAAAGTAATAACGTTGCAGGAATAATTCATAGAGGACTGTGAAATTCTCTAGCCAGAAATTATCCTGCAACCAAGGCAAGCTTTTAATACAATCAAAGGTCTAAGTATTGGGTTTGTAAGGATTTAGTTTGATTGGTTGGAGAATCTCATCATCAGCTGACATCCATTACAGAACTATTGGAAAATCTCGGAGTACTCGACAGCCGTTTCGTCCTAGTTTGGGACCCTTCATCAATACGCATCCACCAAGGTTTTAACCAATACTTGAAAATTAATCTGATGCCCACTAGCGACTGGCCCTATTCAGACAGTGACCTGGGTTCTAGTGGTTAGCTGTGGCCAGTAGGGTGCAGCAGGTTGAAGATGGAGCAGTAACTCATGGAAGACATTGCTAAGTGGTTGCGCTATGTCGTGAATCGGCAGAAGTTAGAATTCATGGGTTATTGGATTGGGTTCCAGTGGCTGATGAATGGTATATGAGCTCGCCTTGTAACCAGAGTGTCCTGGGTTCGAACCCTGGTGGATGAGTACTGTGAAGAGTCCGAAACTAGGACGAAACAGCTGTTCATATATCACCTCATGATGAAATCCTCCAACAATCAAAGGTCGACAGATACCCTCCCTATTTTATCTGTAATTGTGTATACAAGTTTAAGTGCACCTGCGGGAGCACCTGCATTAGGAGAACAGAAATAAAATCACATCTCAGATTCCCTGAGCATGTACCAAAATGTTTACATCTCAGGGGGACACTGCCATTCATCTCCTTCATATGGATCACGTGATGGACGTCTCAAGATCCTTCGAAATTTTCAACACGCAAAAGGGTCCACTTCTCGTCAGATTCACTGAAGCAATTTAAACCAAGCAACTGAAACCCGATTTATGTGTTCACAAATAAGCACTAATCACTCTTTAATTGCCTTGACAACTGAATATTTTCACGTAACGCTAAAAAATCCGTTTCTGTATGATTATTATTGTTAGGAATGAACTCGAACTCTCTGTGTATATTGAAATTGATTATTTACATAAACTTCATAATATCTTTAGGCTGTGAGCAGTTGATGAGAAAGCGACGAATAAATAAACAATGATGGTACCATTTTATTTTGAACAAAAACTGTTTTCTTTTGCTTCATTTTAAATGCTGATGACGCAATACATGCTTTGAAATATATGCCTGAAAAATTTATTCATATTTTCTTAAATTTAACTTGAAAGGAAGAAGCGGATGGATGAGATTTTCATAAAAACATTCATTTTAATAAAAAAAGGATAACTTAGCTCTTTTTATACTATCAGAAGTATATTTTAATTCAATTTCTAGTCCGAGAAAAATGTACCTCAGCCAATCAAATGAGCTGGCCAATAGCATATGTTCCATAATATTCTTTCCTGTGCTACCGCTTCATTCATTCGCGCTTAAATTATGATTCAATTTATTTGACGAATAAATTGTCTTTGTGAATGGATTTGTTTTGATGTACAGTTTTATCGTAGTGTTCTACAGAAAGACAGATCTGAAATCTCATGCATTTATTTCAAAACCTTCGGCATGATTTGAACTTGCATATTTTGTGATGTATTGTTTGAGATCAGTGGAAATCTAATACTGTTGTGGTCATGACTGTTGCTAAACATAAATGCTGCACTATTTATAAATGTATTCTTTAATTTCGAAAGAATAATTAAAGCATATCTTCTTTGTATGGATCACATTATTTGGATTATGTGGATTCCTTTTCTATTATTGAGTAGACAGAATTACGGTGGTAAGTTAGAAGACGTTCAACGTCTGTTTTTTGTTTTGGCCTTTTGTGAAGAATTATCGTTATGACTTATTATTTTCCTTCGATGTCTGCATTCCCAGTCAAAAGGAAGACTTAAGTGACATTTGAACTCATGGTGTGTGCGCAGCATGTTTTAGGGTGGTAAGAGTGCTTGAATCTCAGAGTAATGAGGGTAATTTTTGTATAGCATTGTAAGGAGTCTTTTAACTGTCCAGTTAGTCGACTGGAAAGTCAGTATCCTACTCAGGTCATTCAGGTGACAATTCCAAGCTTACTGAGGGTATGGTTCTCATGATGTCATCAAAATTATTATTTAAGCAGTGACAATTTTAGATATAAGTATAAAACTTGGGCACTGTGGTAGAGCATAACTCCATTATGTATAAGATTTTACTTTGATAAATCACACAGTGCTATACAGTAATATTAAGTGATGACGTTTCGAGCATAAACTATTGCTCATAATCATATCATAACTCGAAACGTCATCAGTTAATATTACTGTACAACACTGTGTGATTTATCAAAATAAAATCTTATCCATAATGGAGTGACAATTTTAAGTTCTATTTTTGTTATTCCAGTCCTTCTTTACTTTCACATTCACATATTGAGAATCCTTAAATAAAATCAGCAAAATTAGTAAATCGTCCCAAGATACTGTTTGCTTTAATTAAATATAACTGAATGAAATATGGAATAAATAAATGTGACTGTGATATAGTTAAAATGGTAAAAGAATGTCTTTCGGCAGTTTCCTTCAATTTGTATCCTGATTTAAGAGGTGCTACTTATTTCCTTATACTGAACCCCATAAATCTTATTATACTACTTATTTCTGTGTACTAATTTAGAAATCGTTTGTTTAGGTTAATTTATCTGAAAATACCTCATTTGATATGGAGTAATACTGAGAAGTATAATGCTCTGTCAAAAGATTTTAATATACTTAAGCTTAGACATTAGGTCTTATTAGACTTCAACGAGTCAAATTTATTTCACCGAAGCATTTTCAAATTACCCGCAACCTGCTGTTGGCTATTGTGCTTTTGCGGTGGCGGTGACTTGTTTAAATCGCTGAGCTATCTACATTTTCAAGTAAAATGCATCTTTTCTACTGTGTTACATATTGTTTAAATGATCTAATTACCACAAAAAGACAAAATCTAACCGCGCACAATTTGAAATTAGTTTCTACCTTTGGGTGAAACAATACTGCTTCAGATGATATATTAACAATTATTATATTATTTGATGATTCTGTACAATAAGTAAATATCCCGCTATGAAACTCGCTGAAAATTCCATATTGTGCATGAACGCAGTTTTTTCAGAATAAAGCTGTTATAATTAAGCCACTGAATAACTATCAGCTGAACAAAAAGTCCGTTAAATTAGTATCAAGTATTCCGAAAATGCAAATTTAGAACAAGACATGCAAGGGAACAATACGGTTTTCAGTTAGATCTCATCAGCTCTAACTCTACTATGCATAAAATAAAATTTAAATGTTGACCAACCATGTTGATTTATCAATATGATCATAAGACTGAGCATATAAATTATACGTTTAGTAATAATAAGAATAATAGTAATAATTTTATTGATAATAATGCTGAAAACGTGGAGCGATATGTGCGTCGATTGCAGAGCGGTTAGGATTCTCACTGACCATGTACATGGTCCGTGGTTTGATCCCCTGCCGACGCATACCTGATATCAATGGTTGGCCTGCTAAATTTGGGCTACCGATATCACATGCTGAAAATTCCATACTTGTAGCAAAAATACTGTGTAGAATCAAGCTATAATCAAAAATAAATAAATAAAATAAGTATAAACAGCATAAATAAACAAACAAATGTTCAAGTAGAAGTAGTCGATAAAGGCTACGAAAAACAAATATTTTGATTAGGTGATTCAAGATTGTAAGCTAAGTAAACAAACTTTGTTTTACTGAAGATGTGATAAGACCAAGAGAGAATAAGAAAGAATAATAGTAACATCATAATTTGGTTAGGTCTTAATTGGTCAAGAGGGTACTGTAAGAACTTCTTTTTGATTGCATAGTCTAACCGTAATAATTCGAACGCACCTCAATAATAATAGCTTTCTTCAGAACAGTGTTGATGTAATGTGCAGAATTTCTGGCGGGGTTTACAACATGATGTTTTCTCTTCGTCCAAGATCTCTGGATATAACATTAATTGACAGTAGATCACGTGACACAGTTTTATATCTTACCTGAAGCGCAAACCAATCCATCATTATGATATCCGTTCTTTGCATCCTTCGAGAAGTACACGGTGGCCTTTTGTTGAATAGCGATTATAAATAGTTCAGGAGTACATTTATTTGAACCAAGGACACGAATTAGCAATGGCCATCTCATGTACTTGGATAAGCTGTAATCGAGGATAATCCTTTTTTTCAAGTTTAGTAGAAACTTGCAAATCAGCTGGTTGTAAATGTTTTAAATACTGACCAGAGTAAACAATACTATTAGAGGTCATATTTCACAAGACTTAAACAAACAGAATAAGAGAAATTATATGCAACATATTGATGAAGGATTTTTCGTAGTCCAAGTTTTAAGCTGGCCGCCAGTTTTATATGTAGTAGATGAATACTGAGTCCATTGGAAAGGTTCGGTGGGATGCGACGAATCATCTTGAATGCTTTCGTTTTTGCATTAAATGCCTATTACGAAATAAATATGACAAAACGGATCTACGGATGGCTTTTGTCTGTCCTTCGCCATTCCACAATGTCAGATGTCCAGTATTATGGTAACTAGGCTATCTAGTGGAGCACCCTACATTACTGAACAGAAATAGATGTGGCTAAACTATCTAACTTATCCTTCATCTAAGCTTCGATCATTTGCTGACTGAACACCGTTTAAATGACACATCACAAAGATTGGCTCATATTTAATATTTATTTGCAAATCTATAGATTTTACAGGGGATTCTGATGAAATTCAACTGAAGACGGTGTTGATATAAGCATAAAACTTGGGCACTGTGCTAGAGTATAACTCCATTATGGATAAGATTTTATTTTGATACATCACACAGTGTTATACAGAAGTATTGTTCGCTTACATATGTTGTTCTGAATTCAATTAACGCCGAGCTATGTGTGCTGACCTAGAATACTGTATAGCATCGTTCTGTGAACAGGTTATCCTTGCGGATGTTTTTAATTCTTAACCACTTTCTTGTCCCTCAACACAACAAGTAGTATTTTTATTGTCTGTAAAGAAATATTCACTGACACTCCTTCTTACAACTACTTTGGAAGATTTCAAGCCGTTCTAAGAAACGTTTCTTCATTTTATGATGTACTGCCAGGCGCCGAATAAACTAGGGTCGTTTAGAATTTCTTTTAATTCGCGAAATACTGTATTTTCTCCATATGGACATCATTTAGTAGGACGATGTTCACCAGCAGTATAAAAGACACTGCAAGCTTTGCATAATTTGGAATTCACTGTGTGTCAGACCACACGAAAATTCATTTCTACAGTGTATAAGAAAAATAAATAAACATCTACGCCTAGTGTTAATTATAACGTTACCTAGGTAATTTCAAATGACAAATGTTGGGTTTAATTTATGACAATTAGATAGTGAGACAGAAATGTACTGAAATAAAAGATAGAGGTTCTACAGAAATCAAAGTCAATTAGTTGGATTCACAAGTATAAAACGAAAATTATGAGAAGAAAGAGATAAAAATTCATGAACGCACTACAACAGATAATTAAAGAAAAACTTTAGAGAATTCTTGACATAAGTATTAAACTTTGGCATTGTGGTAGATTGTAACTCCGTTATAGATAAGATATGATATGAGCAATAGTTTGTGCTCGAAACGTTATCAGTTAATATTACTGTATAACACAGTGTGATTTATCAAAATAAAATCTTATTAAAAGAATTTTGATTATGAGTTTTCCCTGGGAATACCACTCGCTGTAGAGCAGACATTCCTGTGGGCCGAAATCAAAGCCTAAAGAAACCCCTTTTTCCAGTTTCAAGTTAGATAACGAAATGAAATCAGCTGGAGAATAATTGCATAGATGTTTTCACCACGTTTAGCATTCTACTGCTCATCAGTCCGCTCCGTCCTCCTTTATGGCTGTGAGACCTGGCCATTGAGAGTGGAAGACACGAAAAGATTAGCTGTCTTTGATCATAGGTGACTGCGTTCTATCTCCCGCGTGAAGTGGTATAATAACGTGAGCAATACTGAGGTTAGGCGTCGAGTGATAGGTAAGGAGGGGAAATCAATCGACGAGGCCGTGAAATTACATCGACTGAGATGGTTAGGACATGTGTTACGTATGCCTAGTCATCGCCTTCCTCGACAGTGGGCAATGTTAGCTGACATAGGGTCAGGCTGGAAAAGAGCTAGCGGTGGTCAAACCAAAACATGGCTTCATCAGTCAATGAAATCTACAACAGTTAGTTTAAGCCACGTAGGAAGGTGTAGACTTCCTGGTTGTGGTCCTCTGGACGGTAAAATCCAGTGATTGGAAACAATTGGTGACATGGCACAAAATCGTTCTCAATGGCTAGGGCTGTGAATTCTTATTTCTATATGCATATTGCCACCGTCGAAGAATAACATCGTTCACCGATAAATATATATATATGAAAGGAATATCTCGTCGAGGAATTCGTTGATATAAGACATTTGCATCCTTTCCAAAGATTATTCATTTAACCTTCTAAATAAAGAAACTAAACATCTTATCTTGTTTATTTGCTTACACGAAGTCTGAAATCATTCAAAATGAAAGATTTCGACCATGAGTGTGAATTCTGAACTCATTCTAGAGTTCCAAATGAAAAGAAATATAAAATCAGACTACTGATTAGCAGAAAACATATGAAATCACTTCAAATAACATGGGATGTGCAGAGAAAAGAAGCATAAACATTAATCATGTTCATTACATCAGTTATCTTATG